GGGGAGAGGCCCTCTGCCAGCCCAGCCACTGTCAACTCTGCCCTTTGCTTTTGGAGCAGAGAATCAAGGTTGCAAACTAATTAAGCATCTACAGTATCCCTGAGGGATAAGGAAGAAAGTTGTATTTGATATATATATATATAAAAAAAATTATATATATGTGTATTTATTTATATTTTAAAACATATATTTATATGTAATTTTTTTATGGATATATAAAAATACCCAAGAGTAGTCACTTCATTCACTGCTAAAATGTAGATGCTGCTGGGGTATATATATATATAAAAAAAATTATATATATGTGTATTTATTTATATTTTAAAACATATATTTATATGTAATTTTTTTATGGATATATAAAAATACCCAAGAGTAGTCACTTCATTCACTGCTAAAATGTAGATGCTGCTGGGGTGGCATCTACACATCAGCTACTCACAGCAGCATTATGCAATTGATTAGGAAGGAAGAATAGCATCTATGGTCAGAGCAGCTGGGGGTTTGGATAGTCAAAGCAGTATGGTTTAATGTAGCATCCTTAACATGATGGAAACATGAATGCTGGTTGCAGTTTTTATAAATGTCAATTCCCAGGCTATAATTTTCAGAGGCAGTAGTAAGTTTTCAGTGTGACTCCTATCAGCCCAGGTCCGCTTCCCGTGGTGGCACTGTAAGAACTTGTCTGTACTGACAAACTGACCAGAATAGAAGTTGAAAAATAAATTATTCCAGAATAACTCCCTATCTGCACACTCTATTTGGGAATAAAAGTCACTACATTGTAGAAAAATTACTCTGGTAACAAAATTGTATCTGTGTTTCTTGCTTAAGAAATACAAATAAAAGAGCCCAACCCTACACTTACATAGACCAGACCTGCCTAATGCTATAAGCAAAGAAAATTGGTTTATTTTTATTCAGAACAGAAATTCCTCGATTCCTTTCATCAGTGGAATGGCCCACAAGTCTCCATGTGTTTTTTTATTTGAAAAGATAATATAGGTTGAGGCTTGGTTCATTCTTTAGCCAAATGTCTGTTAGCATGCAGTCTGCATTGCTTAAATTGACACATGTCATTTGCAATGGCTCCAAATGCTTAAATCTCAGCAGCCAACAGCATAAGGTTATCAGAATGAAATCTGAATATTTTCCTAATCACAATTAAAGTCTATTTAGTCTAAAGCCTGAGACAGTCATATGCAGCTGAGGGAGTCTACTGTTTATAAAAAGTTAGGTGGTTGCAGGCAAGCCAAGAATATGCTCTGCATACTTGCACGAGGCTATCAGTACTTTAAAATCTAATTAACAGGAATACATCGTCTTCAAATAAACCTCTCTGGCTAGAATTTTTTTCACACCATTGCACACAGAATCTTGGTTTAAATGTTCATTTAAACTTATTGTAGTGCAGTCATATACATGAAGTGCTTGCCTGGATCTTAGTACCCTCTGATATTGTTCCTAGCCTTTTTGCTGAATCGTTTATGTGATTCTGGACACAATATCTTAACCCTGTTTTGTCCTATTTCCCTTTTTAGTATTTTCTAACTATGTTATAGGTTCTTTGGGTTATAGACTTTCAACAGATAAGGAGAAGGCTGAGTTATTCAACAACTTTTTTGCCTCAGTCTTCACTGGTAACCTCTCTCTTCACCCCTTCCAAGTCAATGGACCACAAAATGGGGGCGAGGGGAGTAAAGCCCCTCCCACTGTAAGGGAAGATCAGGTTTGTGACCACCCGAGGAACCTGAACATACATAAGTCTATGGGACCTGATGAGATGCATCCCAGACTCCTGCGAGAATTGGCTGGTGTAGGTAGTTGCCGAGCCACTCTCCATAATATTTGAAAAGTCATGGCAGTCAGGTGGAGTCCCTGGGGACTGGAAGAAGGGAAGCATTGTGCCCATCTTTAAAAAGTGTAGAAAGGAGGACCCTGGGAACTACCAACCTCTCACCTCTGTGCCTGGGAAGATCTTGGAACAGATCGTCCTAGAAGCTATGCTAAAGCACATGGAGGACTGGGAGGTAATTCGAGACAGCCAGCATGGCTTCACCTTTAGACTGGATGTAAGGAAGAAATTCTTTACAATGAGGGTGGTAAAACACTGGAGCGGGTTGCCCAGAGGGGTGGTGGAGGCCCCATCCCTGGAAACATTCAAGGCCAGGTTGGATGGGGCTCTGAGCAACCTGATCTAGTTAGCGGTGTCCCTGCTCACTGCAGGGGGGTTGGACTAGATGACCTCTAGGGGTCCCTTCCAACCCAAAGCATTCTATGATTCTGTGATTCTATTTCTGTGTATTTGTACAGCACTTCACATACGGAGATCCTGGCTTCATTTGAGTCAACCTTTTAAGCAGGAGTACAGAGCTGTTTGTCAGCAGGTAACCGTGGACGTCTGAGGATCATGCAAGAAGTAGTCAGCTTTCACAGAATCAAATCCCAGTCAGACCAAATTTTACCTGTTCCCCAAAATAGATCAAGATGTATTTAGTTTGACAGAGGTGGGGAAAATACTGCTGTTCTGCAACCTTGGCTATTCCATCATTCTTTGAATAATGTTGCTGGTGTACCTGGTCCAAATGGGTCATCTGGATCATAGAATCATAGAATGTTTTGGGTTGGAAGGGACCCCTAGAGGTCATCTAGTCCAACCCCCATGCAGTGAGCAGGGACACCGCTAACTATGACCCGTTCTGGCTCCTCTGGTTGACTGGCAAGCAAGAGTGCTAAAATCTATTTGTTTGCTTGATTTTGTGTCTCCATGCACAGAGGCTACAGTTTCAGAGGCAGGTGAAAAGACTGCTTCACAAAAGATCCAGTCCTAAAAATCTTAGCAGAGGCAAAACTCTGATATATAATAAACTGTAATGGGATATTTGGGTTAAAAGCTCTGCTTGAAACTATGGTTTATGGCAAACCAATGTTTAATATTGGTCTATATTAGTTAATTTTGAAGATCTGCATATTTTCTTCATTAATCTGTATTTTTTAATTCCCTTGAGGCCATTACTGATTGAGTTCCTGCCCACTTTCATTTCATTGATTGCTGCTCTTCTCCCCTTTCTAGATAATCCACCCCTGTTTTGGTTCTCCAGACACATCTCTCTCTGGGGGAGCATTTCCTTCAACCTCGCTGTATTCATCAATTTAGCAGTTGCTCTGTTCTACCCCTTTGGAGATGACGGAGATGAAGGCAAGTAGAGTTTGGGTTTATTTTTCCTTTTAATTTTAGATGCTTTCAGTTCTAAGGTAACAGTTGTATAAAACTGCATCTTCAGGTATGCTCGTATCTGCAGAACCCATTTAGTAGCTTCTAAGTAGGTTCCAGATGTTGTCTGAAATATGGTAGTTGTTCTTCTGTGTGTGGCGTGTCCCATGCAACACGAAGTAAAATGGACAGACCATAGCTGCTAAACTGAAGATTATCTAGATGATCTAGGCTAATTATTTTTCCTTTTTCTTTTTTTTTTTTTAATATTGCCATATTGCAGCGTCCTACTGCACACATTCAGTTACTGCTTCTGAGCTGTAGGATTCCTGGCAGCAGAGGGAAAGAGATTCCTTAGAACTGGCCGTTTTGCATGATTTGCAGTCTTAAAAACGTATGAAATGGAATGATTTGAAAACCAGTTTGTTGGGCCTTGACTGTTGTGTTTGTTGGGTTAAAAGGACATAACTGCTGCAGAGGATAAATGCGTTATATAAAGATATGCTTAAAACCTATGATTTTGTCTCTGCTTCATCACATGTCACAGGAAATATAACAAATAATAAATTTCATTAAATAAATGCAGCAGACTAGCGGGAGGCCTCTTTGAATCCAAAACAAGCTTAATTGGGATAAAGGGAGACTAAGTAGTTCAGAATACCGGTAACGGGAGCAGAGCCGTTCACCTCTGGGTCTTTGATTCCTTTCCAGTCCAGTCAGTAATGTGACTGCACGTCACCTCTCTCTGGTGGCATGTGAACTGGGCTGGTGGAAGCTGTCCAGCTTCTAGTAGATACACGTGCTTTTCACAAGCACCAGAGTTGGCACCAGCAGACATTCCTGTTGGCTGGCTAAACAGAAAGGCAGCAGATTAAAGTATATTGGCATGGAGACCGCGTTGCCCTTTCCCCCTCCGGGGTGGTCTCTGCAGGTCACGGCACAGGCGTCTCCCCAGCATTCCCGTAGCAAAGTTTGCAGGGCTGAGCTGTGCAAAAGGGGAGCGTTTGTACTCAGCGCTTTCCTGTTTGTAAACTGAAGAGTCACTTGGAGGGCACGCATGTTAGAGCCCATGCAGGATGAGAGGAGAAGTAAAGAGTTAAAAATAAACCTTTGAAGCTAGCAAATTTTAGCTAATCTATACTCGTGGAAATCCTCTGGTCTGCAATCGGGAGGTATTAATACTTATTTTGAACTGCAGACTTATATGGTATTAGTTTAAGTGGCCCCAGTAATCCAGTGATTTCAGTGATAGCGCATCTCAGGATTCCAGTTCCCAGTGCCTGTAAAAGCAAAAGCGATTCCTGAGCGATAAACAGTAGGTGTGGCCCAACGGGATTAGCAGGTCATGAGGCGGCCTCCTTACTTCCAGCCTCCCCCTCCACCAAAACCCCATCTCACAGCTGGAGTTTGTCTCCCATTTGTCCCCTTTAGCTTGTGTAAATCCCACCCCACCCCCCGCCCCCAAATGTCTGAGGTGCCTGGGCTGAACTAATCATCCCACAAATGCTGCCGTTCAGTGGATTTCTGCAGTTCTTACGTCACGTGACATAAGCGAACTTGTGCTCCAGATGAGGACTCCTTGCCTCCAGCATGCACGTCAGCACACGTTACGGGTGTGGGTCCTGCAACGTGAAATCGTTTGACCTGCAGCGGGGAGGAAGGAAAAATGGTTTGTTAAAGAAACGCTGAGTACTTTGGCCTCACCTTTCAGACCCACTTGGAAGTTATTTTTTTAGGATCCATTAAAAGTTTCCAAATCTTTTTGGCGAAGAAACTGACAGAGCCGACCTTGAACCTCCTGCCAAGGATATAAACACTCCTGAACTTTGGAAAAGTTCAGATGCCATCTGAATGTTGAGGCCAGGGCCCCATCTCGCTGTTTTCTAATCCCACCGGTGCTGCTCAGCTGTGCATCTGTTGCCAAAGAGATAGCATGATTTCTATTGTGAGTCTAGCTAAATTTTCTATTCCCTTCTCCCCCGTCGCTGACCTCTCAGTTCATCGGATAACAATAGAAGTCAGTGTACAAGTGTGACAGTGCCCCCAGATCTGAATGTGCTTTTTATATCACAGCAACGTGGTGTGTTTCCCCAGGGCTGTAAGCAGAGGAGAGGGGGAAAACAGGGGCAGCGCTCAAAACTCGGGGAGAGCCTGGAGCCAGCATCTTGCAGAGCAGCAGGCAGGCTCTGAAGGCAGTGGCTCACATGGCTGCAGGAGCTCAGCAAGACCCGGGTCCCGCTGCCTCCCCGGGAGCAAGGCACAGCGATTCAGCTGCTCTCGGCAATGCAGATGCTGCCTGTTCCTGCCCAAGTCCCCGTGGCTGCTTCCCGCTGCGGCAAGTGCCTTGCTCCCGTGCCGAGGCGGAGGCTCCCGCTGAACACCCGCAGCCGTTCAGAAGAAAGCTGCTTTTCTTAAAATCGGGGCACTTCGGTGCTGGTGGGGATCGAAACGTGACACTGCGGCGCGGTGCCACTTGCTGCGTCCACCCCGAGGACCGGCTGTTTCTGTAGCTGAGCCATCATGGAATTAGACTGGGGGAGCCCTAATGATCCCTGCAGAAGGGAGCTGATTAATAGCTTGCTCCAGGAGAAGGGTAAACTGTTTCATCTCTGAGCGCTCCTTGGATTTTAATGGAAATTTCATTAGCTGCTCTTATTATTACCTGTGCAAAAATCAACAATACCATGATGATAACAGTTCTTGCTGCAATTAGGGCAAGTTGTGGTCAGCAATTGTGATGCATGAATCACGCTTTTTGTTAGCTATATTGGCAAAGGAATCGATCTTTTGGATCTGTTTCTTGGTGAAAAATGGACTCTCCAAAGATGCCTTTCTCAAATCTCCTTTTCTCCTCTATACAGGCACGCTCTCTCCGTTGTTTTCACTCCTCCTTTGGATAGCAGTGGCGTTTTGTACAGCAATGCTGTTTTTCATCTCCAAGCCTGTTGGTATTCGACCCTTTTTGGTGTCTGTTATTCTCAGGTCTATATATACTATAGGGCTTGGTCCTACCTTGATACTTCTTGGTGCTGCTAATGTAAGTACTTAAAAAGCAAGCAGAATTTCCCTTTCAGCAGAAGCAGAGACATTAAGGGTCTCCTATTAAAAAAAAGCCCTTGATTAGAGCTGTGCAAAGAACTTCTTTTTCTGGTTCACTGGTTAAGCCAAAAAAATAAATCATTTCTAGTCATCCTGAAACAGCAGCATCAGCAAAATGGGAAGCTAAGAAAAAAGCTGTTTTGGTTTTGTGCATATGCAAATATTTTAAAAATAAAAACAATATGAAATTTAAAGAAATAGTGCCAAATAAGGGGAATCAAAATTACAGTTTCTTATGTTAAAAGAACAATTTTCTCTACAATGTGCTCTGCAAAATTGACACAAATTTGTGGGATGTTTCTGTGAGCTTAAATATGTTTTTGAGAAGAAAGAAGTTTTTAAAACGAAAAATCCTCTCAGCATGTTTACTGAGCTTGGTAGGATACACAGTCATGCTCTCAAGTCACCTATTTAGATTTCTGCCTGACTGCTACAGCTCTAAGTCACCTTAGCACCAGGCAGCAAAGTGTTGGGCTCTTTGCCACCAGTTCTGTGAGAATTTCACATACTTAAAACTACCCTAATGTACAGTCGAAGGTAAAGGCAAGTAAGCAGCGCTTGCCCGTGTCAAATTTGTGAAGGAAAAAACCACGCTGAGTCCTCATTGCTTGTCCTAGACTGCCAAGCAGATGAGGTTAGCCCCTTTCGTATTTACCTCTGCGCTGCTGTTTGCGTGCAGGCAAAGCTCGGGAGCAGTGGAGGATCTGATGCTGTTGCTTAAATGCTATACTACAAAAGTGCCCCCAGTGTTTGGGGTTTTTTTTAGGGATTTTATATAGGAAAACATGATCTGAAGGAAATGGTAGATCTCACACGCACCCCACACACTTTCTGTTGTGTTACTATTGTTCTCTTTGTAGTAGCCGGCCCAGCTGTTCTTACATGGTCTTGGGTCTAAACTCAGAACTGTTGGGAATTCACTCCCCAGTTTTCTTTTAATGCCTTGTGGCATTAAGCCCGCCCTACCTACTCACTCATGCTATAGAAATAAATCACGATGTAATGAGGCACAGTGCAGGGTTAGAGGGGTGATGTATGGCCACGTACCCTCATGGGCTCGTTCCCACTGTACCCTGGGAGCTGGATTTCTCTCATCTCGCTCCAGCTATCTAAAAGTTGAGCACTGAGTCAAAGCAACCTATCTAGACTTTTGCACGCTGCAACAATGCAAACAGTAAATAACAGGATTTTTCTGATGGAATAAACCTAGCTTTTCTAATTCCACCCCCCAGCTTTGTAACAAAATAGTGTTTCTGGTGAGCTTTGTTGGGAACCGTGGAACATTCACCCGTGGCTACAGAGCGGTCATCATGGACATGGCTTTTCTCTATCACGTAGCCTATGTCCTCGTCTGCATGCTGGGCCTCTGTGTGCACGAATTCTTCTATAGTTTCCTGGTAAGTATGTGCTTCTGTGGAGGGGAAAACTGCAAAAATAGAAAATACCGTTACCCGTGCAGCTGTTTTCAATTTCTTCCTGACAATCAAGCCAAATCATGTGTATTTTTAGCATGCCGTTGTGTTGCTGCCCCTTAGGAGCTGCTGTTTTCATTAGAACCTGGTTCTTTTAGGACTTATTTTATCTGTTTTAGAGTTGAAAGTTTGCTGATTTCTTTTCAGACAACCATCATACAGCCCACTCCTTTCTCCCGCCCTTCCCCAGCATACATATATTCTGTGTACGCTGTTCCTGCATCTAGTGTCGGTCATCATCTCTTTGGGATAGGAGTTGTCCCCTGGTCTGTGCATCATACTTATGCCAAAGGATCCCACTCCTCAGTTCATCTTGCAGCCCTAATAAAAAAAAACAAAACCCAACATATACATTACTTGGGAAATAGGGACAGCATGCCTCTGGTGTAGTGGGAAGATTCATCACTTTAAATGTATCCCACTTTCATTTTCTTTTGTTGCTGTTACCCAGATGGAATGCCTTTTTATAATATGATACAGGTGCAATGAAAATGAATCATACAAAATTATGCTAAACTCAGCTAACTGCTCCCTTCGTGCTGAATAGCAGTAAAAGGTGTTTCACCGCTCTTGTTTTCTAATCCTTTTGCTTTATACTGGAGCGTGTGAAACTTGTCGGGAGACTGACTAAATTGTGGTCATTTACATGGGTTCGCTTTCCTGTTGTCATATTTTTCTCAGCTTCCTGAAGAGTGGTGAGCTTCCAGCATTTCACAGAGGTGTGTTAAGCACACGAAAATTTTCAGGGATTCAGTCCTTAGCTCCTGTTGAAGTCAGGTTTTCCAGATCTTGACATGAAAGCCAGCTTCAAAGTTTGGGCAGATTTCAAAGGAGCCAAGATTTTGTGGCTATAGCTGCAGGACGCTTTTTCAAATGGATGTTACTCTCTTGCTTAAAAAATGCACAGCAAATTACCTGTTATTCCTTCAATGAGTAAGGTGATCTCTACCTTAAAGAACTTTCCAAAGTGCCAAGTAGTTTAAGAACTTGCTTTTTTCAGTGACTGCTATTCACAAATGTCCATGAATCACGGATGTTACAGTTGTCCAAGTTCCCAAGTTACTTCCAGGTGTTCACTTCATAGTGGAAATATTCTAAACCCTAATATTTTTTTCCTCATTTTAAGCTTTGTCTTCTACAGAATGAATGATAACTGTCTTTCCTCTTTCTTCCTTTATTATTAATCCTTTCACAAGGCTGTGGATTTCAGATCTTGTGAATTGTGACTAATACCTTCTGTGGACCGTTTTGATAAATCATAGCGTGTCGCTTTATATCTGTAATCTGTGTGTTTTGAAGTGGAAATACATACATTATAGATAAGGTCCAAAGCACTATAGAACATCAATAGAATTGCAAGAGAAAAAAAGCTATAGTTTCTTGAAAAGGTCTTAGCACGTTTAATTGCTGGTTTAGGCCTTTGACATTTAAAGCAGTATTACCTTAATGTATACTTTTCTTTAAAGTTAAATACCAGGAAAGCATATAGTGCAGGGTAAAGAAGAACAGAAGCTTCTAGTTTTATACAAACAGTGCAGTGAATTTATCTTTGTCCTAAAGAGAGATGGCCCCGATCCTTGTACATGTGAGTGACTTTTAAACGATGACATGAGCTCACAGAAACAGTTTACAGACATGTAACTACTTGCATCCATGAGTGCCTTTTTGAGTTACAGCCCATGCATGTTTATTAGGTGGGAGATAACATGAAAAATTAATTTGTCAATGTAGATCCGTAATATGAAGACACTGATTTTTAATTTTAATCTTGACTGGGTTTGAACGTGGGGAAACAATGGATCTTGTTGGTAACCGTTACCCACATCTAGATCAGGCTCATATATAATATATACTTTGTAGCATTGGATTTTGCTGTAACCTATCTGTGCTAGATTTTCTTCTCCTATAAGTGTGCCTGGCTCCCACTGAAATCAATGTGAATTGTATGTTTATGAAGCTGAGAATTTAGAACGTGACTAGATGTATGTTTCAGTAGTTCAGGCTGTTTTCCCATGTAGCGTCTATATATTGCCTCATTTGTATTCATTTTTCCTCTACTCTCTGCTTCTCCCAGCTGTTTGATCTGGTGTACAGAGAAGAGACTTTGCTAAATGTGATAAAAAGCGTTACCCGGAATGGTCGTTCCATTATCCTCACTGCAGTGCTAGCACTCATCCTAGTTTATCTCTTCTCCATCATTGGGTTCCTCTTCTTGAAAGATGACTTTATCATGGAGGTCGACAGATTGAAAATCAGGACCCCTGTTGCAGGTATTGGTTTTTATATTAAAATTTGCTTCCAACGTATACCTTTTTTGTCTGTCTAACCTAACTTTCCTCTAAGGAAATTTAATTTTTTTTATTCGTATCTGTGGGAGCAGAACTAACTCCATACACCTTAGGACTAAATTAAATCTTTGGGTAAAATCTAATGCGTAGGGTTGTTTTAGGCTAGGTTTATCTGTTGAAATACTGAAATTTAACACTCACGCTTGATTTATTACATCTTCTTTTCTAACTCATGCTAATATAAAGAAAAAATAAATCTACATTTCCTAAACATTTGGAAGAGCAACTCGAAGTGGATTCTGTTGGTTCTCTACCCACCTTAAAAGCAGCTCATAGTGTTTTCTGTGTACTGCATGAGGCATGTGATCTTCAGATGTTCAGTAGACATATTCATTTGATTACTTTTTAAGCTTCCTCCAGCAAAAATTTATCGCAGAATCCACACTACTGCTGATAGGAGCTTTCCTGGAGCTTCTTTTAAATTCAGTGTGTATTTCATGACCATCACCATTAGTGTATAATCCTGACTTCAGTAAAATCATTGGGAGGTTTTTAACCAGTTTTTAAAAGGCCAGGATTTCCACTTTCTGGCATAAGAGATTTTACCAATGTGGATAGGGAGTTACAGACTTGCTTTGCTAGAAAAAAAAAACCAGGTCTGGTCTGTTGAGATCTTTGTATGTGCTGCCAACCAGCCTGCTGGGAGCATGGGCAGAAAAGTAACTGTCTGCATAGAAATAGCTGAGAATAGCTCGTGATTAAATTCACAGAGGCATGATTTTCCCAAATGCTGAGCTCTTCAGACCTGTACACAAGCACAGAATAACTGGTGGTGCCCACCCCGGACTGTGTGCACTCAGTGTTTGCCAGCTTCTTCCTAAATTTGTTATTTCAGGACCTAAAGCACACAAACAAGGCAAAGCTTATTCAGGACTCATGGACACGGTGTACTCCTGTAACTGTTTTGATACCATATGAAAAAAAAAGGAACACGATAGTTTTCTTTAACACACCTTGCTTCTTGCCACTGATCATCTTAAAAGGGCTATGTTGGCTTCTGTGTCACTTACTGCTCATTTTTGGGACAGAACTTAGGATCTGAAGTTTCAGTTTGAAAGATAATTGTGACCATCATAGAAGAACGGATGCGAAGGTACACGCGGCGCTGGGCTGGTCCAGAGCAGTAGTTCCTGCATGTTTGTGTTTCTTCTTGGCAGATTCTTGTGGTGAGGGTATATTCTTGCTGGCTTTATACATTGCCATTCCTGATCAAAAACTCATCAAGAAAATACGCTGATGGTAAACTGATGGAACATAATGTATCCCGAGAGAAGCGTTTCAAATTTTTTCTTCATAAAGTAGCACAAAGAGAAAGTTGGAGTGGACGTTTTCTGTGTTACACAGATTGTCTTGGACTGTTACTTTGGTTGCATGATTTTGCCTTCATTTTTTTTCTCCTTAAACCTTTTTGTGTCTCTGATTTGAAATGCAGAAAATTGTTGAAGATGCACAAGATAAAATTGATTTGATAAAATCAAGCTGATGTACACATTTACCCACTTTGGGAATGTTAAATTAGTGTTTTACACAAACCCATACATATTTACAAATGAGTACCAAACTGTGTTATAATCCTTGAAGACTCTTAAATATTCTGCATTCAGGATAACTGAACATCAACTTGGTGTCCTTCTTGTCAGATTTTGTGAATAATTTATCTAATGGTTTTAAAACTGACATTATTTTCATATCTGACAGTTGTGTCTTGCTTTGAATATATTTTGTTCTAACCAGAAGTAGCAGCATTTGATGTAGATTCATTAATTTCAGGAGATGAAATGGGAATAGCTGTGATATACAGTAAATATAAAACTGTGGGTTTGATCCTTATGATTGCTTTGAGCTGTTGAAGCAGACTGTTTGAGGAAGGAGGAATTGGTGGTATAATTTGTTCTGCTTTTTCCTCTCAACTTTTCAAATCAGTGATTCACTTCTAGAAAATAACGATTTAAAACTTTGTATCAATGCAGTATCTGTCTTTTTGTCCGTGTCCTGCTTTTTCCACAGGTGTCGGTGAAGTCCCCACTACAACCCTCACATCAATGGTGGGAGCCTGTGCAAAAGAGAACTGTTCCACGAGCATCCCAATTACTAACCCAGGTTAGTACAAAAGTTCCCCCAAACTGATGATCAATGAGAACCGAGGGATTTGAGTGTTGTTGCTGTTGCGGAGGCTGTCGCCAGCGTGAGAAGCGATGAGCGTTGTTGTAATCAGAAGTGCTCAACGGCTGCAAGGCCTGGGGCTTGGTTGGCAGCTTGCCTTTAATGCGAGTGCTTCCCACACCTGATTTCCAATTGCACTGACATTAATTTTGTTACTAAAAGAGCTTGCTGAATTGTTATTCTTTAACGTACAGGTCACTTCTTTCCAGCTGACTTTGCTGGGAGAAGCAGCTTGCTGCTTACCTGCAGCATCCTCACCTGCACACACTGGGCCACTATTAGATCCATTTAGGGCCACGTAAGTTGATTTTAATGGCATAGCACGTATCAGCAAGCTTTAGCATACACTTCTTCCGTGCTTCTAGGCCAAGGTTGTAGTGTAGCCAGAAGACCCAAGAGCCCAGATCCAGGATGAAGTTACTATGTCTTAACGCGTTACCGCGGCTCAGCTAAGCATGGGCAGCAGCCCATCTGTGCATTTCTAGCTTGTGGCAAATGGAAGGGAACAGAGACTGTCGCAAGCCTTTCTTGCGATAGCCAAGTTGTGTT